GCACATCATTGGTAGCACACAGAAGGGTTGGTTGATCATCGTTGGTGGCACATCGATGGTAGCTCATCGTCGGTACCACATTGTTGGTCGCACACCTGTGGTAGCACATCATTAGTAGCACTTCGTTGATAAACGGTGTTGCATGGTCCTCTACCATCTCACTCAGTACAGGATCTAAGGACCGTTTACATCAGTGAAAGCTATTTACGCTTGAAGCTATTTACGTGGTGTTGTCTGTGGCTAAAATTTGATAGATTCCGTTATCATTGGCAACAAAATTATGTGCCAAGTATCGGATCGAGAGGATGACGGAAAGTGGGTCATTTAGCTTTCCGAATATTTTTTCCCCAGAAAAACACGAAGAAAAGTGACGTTAATATAAAGGATTTAAAAAAGAAAATAATAAAAATTTATATTCAATATGACATCGATCATCCGGACTAGTTATGATTTGACCCTGTACTGATCATCGACTTATCCGGATTTGTTGTGAATATTTTGGTTCACGGTCACGCGTGACTTGTGAGAGGATGTTGCCACATCGATGCCCGAGGCCGTTTTTGGTGGTTGTTTTTTGTTGTTGCTGATGTTTAGAGAGGGGAATCCATTCTCTTGATAATCATGTTACAGTTCTAGCTCCAAAGAAATAAAGATACATTTCATCAGGCTATCTGGATGTGATGCTGTGAATTCGTGACGTGCTGACTATCGAGTCACAGAATCATTAAATAATAAAAATCTAGTTGATGCCCGCCGTAGCTTAACCGGGTGAAGTTTATTGACACCGGGTCCGGGTATTTTGAGAAAGTGGTATCAAAACAACAACGCTTCTCATTATCTATAACAGGGGTCTCCAAACTTTTCAGCCCGAGGGCCGCATTATCTATCAAACAGCAGTTCGGGGGCCGCCTACACACTCGAGGTCCAAGTAAAAAAGAATCAAAACATGGATGGTGTTTTTAATTATTTATGTATAATTATTTCACTCAGTTATTATTTAATAACACATTGATACACGACAAATGAACAACTGCATTAATTGGAATGGTTAAATTGTTTCCTGGATGCCAAAATAGCAGCGGTTAGCAGACATTTCTGGATTTAGATTTGATGTCCCGAACATCAACAGTGACCTGAGATTATCATCGGACAAATCTGTTCTCAAATTGTTCTCCACGTATTTCATTCTTGAAAATGTTTGTTCACACCGGTATGTTGTTGCAAAGATTGAAAGGTACCTTGATGCATGGGCGCCCGCAGAAAACTTTCTAGGGGAAGGGGGCAAAAAAAAATAGATTAACTTTCCAGGGGGGGGGGCAATTTTTTTTTAGTAATGTTTTAATGTAGTTTTAATTTACTGTAGCGTATTTGTATGGTGAACGAACGGACAGGACATCAGCTTAGTTACTTTCTCTTTATTTTCTCTTTACTTTAATACATTTTTT